TCCATCCCTGTGTTAATCTAACAGCTCCTATTCCTTATGTTCTTATCTATCCCTGTGTTAATCTAACAGCTCCTATTCCTTATGTTCTTATCTATCCCTGTGTTAATCTGACAGCTCCTATTCCTTATGTTCTTATCTATCCCTGTGTTAATCAAACAGCTCCTATTCCTTATGTTCTTATCTATCCCTGTGTTAATCAAACAGTTCCTATTTCTCATGTATCCTTATGTCACTCTAACAGTACACCAACACAGGCATGTGTGAATGGCATTATACTGGGGTCATTGCTATAAGATGCGAGGCTAGAAGAGTGGCTATTGTTTGAGCGAGAGCACTTGTATAACCAGGAGTCTGTAGCAAGGGTAGCAGTGCAGAAGCCTTTCAGTTACAGCATGAGAGAAAGCATCCCAAGGAGCCAGTACAACTATGCACTAATCTGGTCAGCAATAGCAATGGGAAACATCAAACCATAGAACCATACAATATGCAGGAGGCCATTCAACCCATTGCATCTAGGCCAGCCGTCTACTTTTCTACCCGTTCCTCATAGCCATGCAAATACCTCCTTTGTTATCACTATGAAAGTTCTATACTGTAATTCTGGCCCCTTTAACTGCGAAGTTGCACATCATGAGACAAAGTTTTGTATTAAAACTAAGTTATCTGAGTGCACACAGGTGCAATATCACATGATCAGGTTTGATGCCGTCAGCATTTTGGACAGTAGATAATAGTAGTGGGGTATGGCAGGGGTAAGCTCATTTAACAGAATGCTACCTAATGCACAGGGATAAGAACAAATGTTGGGGTATGGGCAAGTGAGCTCCAGTTGCAGAGTGGCGTACCAGATAAATTGGTGATAATGGACAGTGGGCACCAGTTCACTTGGTGCTACCGAGGAAAGACATTTCTGGGTATTCCCTATCACTAGCCATGAAGAGGGGCAAAGGCAACTTCTCAGCCACAACATGTCGAACAACGTAGACAAACTGGACTCCGAGGATGGAAATAAAAGCAAATCAAAACCAAAACTTTGTCTCATGCACAAGCACCTTGCTTAGGAAGAATGCCAGTATCCATGATCCATGGTTCTCTCAAATTAAAATGTTCCTGAGGGTGTTGGAGAGGTCTCTATCACGGCATCAGTTGTGGTCTTTGCTGACCCACAGTCACAGCAATAGTGACTCCACCTCTAAAACCCAAACTCCCAGCTGGTGTTTATGTAAAAGGGTTTCCCTGACATTTTTGTGTGGAAATCTATTAAAATGAATTGCTGAGACAAGGTACTGGGACAGGTCTGACACCCGCAAACAGCAGACATTAAGTCACACATACACACCAAGCTCTGAGAGGAGGAGGCATTTCTGCATATGGTTCTGAGGATTGAGGTGGGTCATTTGGGAAACATCAAGGTAGCAGTGCTCCTAACGTAAGCAGATCTAAATTGGGGATGAGGGATGGTGGTTGCAATATCAGTTGGGCGAGAACGTATCTGGTCCAGTAAATTAAAAATAGTGATGGGGAGATAACACTGCAATGGAACAATAGGCTGCTTTTAAAGAGGTAGTTTGAGGCAATTGAGGTATAGTTCCAGGCTAACCAAATGCTAAGAGGTGACTAGAGAGATAGACCATAGGATGAAACAGAAAAGAAGGCATATGCTAGATGTCAGATTGATAATGCAAGTTTGAAACAGGTTGAATATAAAAAGTTCAAAGGGGAACAGGAAAAGCAAGGCAAAGAGTGTGTATGAGAAGAGACCAGCAGCTAATATAAAAGGGAATCCAAAAATTTTCTACAGGTATATTATTTGTTACTGGGTGGTAGGAGGAAGGATCAGATTGATGGGGAAACACAAGGATTTTTGCATGGAAATGTTGGCAAAATCATCGAGAAAGAGTAGGTAGTTGAGGCACTGCACAGAATAGAAATTGATAAAGAAAGGGAATCTCTTCCCCATGGCAGACGTTTCTAAGACCAGAGGGCAAACATTTAAAGTTACGAATAAGTGGTTTAGAGGAGATGTGATGAAAAGGTTTTTTAGCTAGAGGGTGTTAGGGGGTGGTGGAATGTACAGGCAAGTATTCTTGCAACATTTTAAGAAGCATCTGGATGAGCACTTAACATGCCAGGACATACGGACCAAGTGCAGGTAAATGGGATTAGTGTAGTTTAGTGTTTGTTGGTTGGCATAGACATGGTGGGACGAAGGGTCTGTTTCTATGCTGTATGACTGTAAATTTGAAACGGTGGCTGTACTTGAAGTGAATGAGTCATCAGGACCAGATGGGATGTATTTGGGGACAGTGAAGGAAGTAAGGAAAGAAACTATAAAAGCATTGGGTGTAACCTCCTAATCTTCCTTAGATACAGGAGTGATAGCAATGGAGTGGAGAACCACAGCAATTATACCCTACTTCAAAATAGGATAGAAAAATATTCCCAGCACTTATGGACCAGTCAGCTTAATCTGGGCAATGGACAAGCTTTTGGAAAGGATAACTCAGTACAAAATTTACAATCACGCAGACAAGAGTCAAATACATAAGGAAAGGCAGCACAGATTTGTTATAGTTGAATCATGCTTAGCTAGTTAGCTGTTTTAAAAAAATCAAGTAACCAAGACCACCAATGAGGAGAATAGAGTCTGATATTGTACATGCTGATTTTGAAAAGGAATTTGAGAAGAAGCTCGCCAGCTAGGGTAAATCCTATAGGTTCAAAGAGGCGGTGACAGCATGGCAATGAGCTGGCTGAGTAATAGGATGCACAGTAACGATTAATGGTTGTTTTCAATCGAGAGAAAGGCATTCAGTTGAGGTCCCCGGTGATTGGGACTAAGGAATACATTACTGACCTGGTTTGAGTATTTCAAAATTTGAAAGTATTGTGGTCTGTGAGGATGATAATGATAGACTTCAAATCGGACATAGACGGGCTGGTGGAATGGACAGACACATGGCACAAAGATTCAAGGGATCAGGCCCTTCAGGTACATCAACATATCAGAGAAAGTGGGGTTGCTCTTGTCTGAGAACATTGAGAAGAGATTTGATGAAGGTTTTCAAAATCATGATTGGTGTAGGTAGGAGAGAAACTGTTCCCATTTGTGGATGAATCCAGCGCTAAATTACAAGTGATTGGCTTAAAAGTGACGACGATGAACAATGAGGAAAGATTAGCAAGTGGGTAGGATGTCGAATGTGCTGCTTCAGAATGTGACAGAGGCAGATTTAAATCTGGTTTTCAAAAAGAACATTGGATAATTATCTGACCTGAAAAAGATTGCAGTTATCGGGAATGGGTGGGTTGGTCCTACTTGGTCTAATAGGCTGGACACACACACACACACACACACATACACATGCACACACTCTCTAACACTCTAACACTCCCCTTGGGCAATGCAGTGGGGTAGCTGACTCCATTGTGACTTTTTGTGACCACCCTTGATCATGACTAATGAACCTAGGCAGCGGGATGAAAAGGTTCTTTGTCTCATGCTGTTTTGTGAGGGGCTGTTTCTGAGCACACGTGCGTGTGAGGGAAGCATCACAAGCTGCTACTGTGCTACGCCAACTATTTACACACATTTTCTTCCAGTTCTTTTGTCATCAGGCACTGGAGTCACTGAGAGATCAGAGAAAGGAGAGAAACAAGGGTGAGAGGTCAGAATACACAAAACAGCTTCACAACCACAACATCGACAGAAGGAATGAAACACCTTGCATTTGCTTTTATAAAATAGACATCAGAGACGAAATTGGCACCGAGGAAACATGAAAGAGATGGAAAAAAAGGGTTGGGAAGAAACTTAAGGAAGGGGCAGGGTTTAGGGAAGAAGGTCATGACAACACGCAACATAACCAAGTAAAAACCAAACTCTCCCATCCCACTTCAATACTATCTTGAGTACATGGAGGGTAAAGATTCCTTTTATTGCTATGTACATTGATGTGATGCAGATACTTGTCAAAACTCTTGGGTGCCCATAGGGTCAACTGGAATGAATGGGATTCAGCTCAGTATCAGAAATTGATTTGACAAGCAGCCCTTCACACATTGTCTTTCTTTCAATATTTTAAGCCCATGTTCTCAAATTAACATTTAGATAAGGTGTTCTTACACTGCATGTTCTGTAGGCTTTTCTTTGAATGACCTTTGCTGTCCTTTATGAGAATTAGCCAGGAATGGGTGAGGAAGGAGCTTGGGATTTCTTTTCCATGTGAAAACCCTGACAGCCTGCACAGGAAATGGTCTTCAGCCAAAGCAATTGTGCCCCATTATTTTCAATGTGAGGACCAGCTGAGGTCAGTTGTTATGATGCATATAATTGGGAGGTTGGATGTATCCTGTGCCCATCACACAGTAAGTAGACGTTACAATAGAATGCTGATAATAACATTGCACAGTAAGGGCCAGGTTTTCACTGATAAGGTGAACAGCCCAAGGTGGGAATTTCCTGAGTCATCAGATTGGCCTCAGTAAAAGTTATCCCAAGTTTGGCGACTTTTGTTCATGGGGAGGGGTGAGGGTGGAAGCAGAATGGCCCACTGGCTCTGGGAGTAGAGCAGAGGCAACCAAGGGGCAGGCAAGTGCAGAAGTACTTCGATTCTCCATGGCTTCATCCTAAATTGTTTCAGAAAGTGTTAGGCCCGCTAACCCTCATCTCCAAACCAAACCATTTCTCCCCTCCCATGCCTACCCAACCACCATGGTTACTCAAACATACTCCATGCTAACTCATGTCTCTCACCCAACCTTCATAATCCCTCATATTCTCCATGTTACCTCCTGAGACACTCACCCAATACATTCTATAGACAGACTCCAAAAGCATAGGAGATTAAAATGATTCATTTCAAAACATCTTATTCAATGGTACTCCTACAAAAACTCAGTTCCATACAAACTCTTAATTATTCTCAAGTTGTTTGTTTCTTATAAGAACAAATAGGCCACTATATTCAGACCCAATGTTAAAAAAAATTGATGCTTGTAACTGTCAATCAAACAATGAAGTCAAAGATAATCGAGACTTTTGAAACTCAGTCAAACATTCATAATGGCATAACAATAGCACTTGGAGAAATCTCAAACAACTCAATTAAAACAACATAACTGTTTTGTTTCTAACAGGCAGAGATGGCCTGTCAAAAAGGTCCAACAGAGGGCTTTGTTTTTAATCTTTTAAGGACAACTGTAGCCTATTTGACACTTAAAAAAAAAGGATTCCAAATACTTCACATCATGACAATTACTTGGAGCTTATCCACCTTGTAAGCGTGTTTACACGTACCCCATCAATTTGTGGCTCCCACACGGAGGGTTATGGTCCTTGCAACAGCAAAGTTGAAGGCCTGTTTGAACTTTGCACTGAGTTCAAATGGCCTTACTGAGTTCAGGTTTCCATCCTGTGAGAATAATGGCCTGCCCCTTACCTTGACTGGCAAAAGTGGGACCCATCAGGAAAGGGAATGGGACTTCAGTGTTTGGGGCCCAACTGCCATTTTTAGAGGTCTGTAGAGTTTTCCCAACTCCAGCCTAATATGTCGCGAACAATTTATAATAATATTTGCCAGATGATACAAAACAATTTCAGTCTTAAAAGAGAAAGAAAGCCAGGCACTTGTCCACAGGGTGAAATCTACAGTAATGGGGGACCTGGGCAGTTCATACTTAGCTATGGTTGAATTGAAGCATTCAAGGGGGGAACTGAATGATTATTTGGATAAAAACAATGTGCGAGGGTATGGGGAGGAAGCAGGAGACTGGAACTAGATAATGGTGTTCATTTAACGAGCCATGCAGGCATGATGGGCTAAATTGCATCCTACTGTACCAGAACATTCTGTGATTCTGTGATGATGATCTAAATCTGCCCCTTTTGAGCAGTGACATCAAGAAACACAGACCGGGTGAGCAGTGACACCACAGAACCATAGGATCATAGCATCCCCACAGGTCAAATAGAGGCCATTTGGTCTATCAAGTCTACACCAACCACTTATCTAAGATTACCAGTGGTCAACAACACAGCAAACCAGGTAGCTTCCCTTGTGGAGGGTAGGAGGTGGGGGTGGGGTTGAGAGGGTGGAGTCTAACATTTCCTGTGACACAATAGGTACATTGCTGCTTACGATCAATAATGTCACCCAGCCCCTGTGTGCAGAGCAGATCTCTCAGTCTAGACACTTCATCCTTTAGTTCCCGGATCAACTTGTTGTTGGGATCCTCGTTAATGACTGCATTGCACCGGATCTGTTTCGCACGATCGGCGTACCTAAGCAAGAGAATGAACCAGATGGTGTGTTTATTAGACTGGATCATGGGAGCTGGGGAAGAGTTGTGATGGGAGTAGGGAGCAGTGTTCAACTTGCTCAATGTTTCATTATCTTCTCCCTATGGGATCCTTATCCACATCCTGACACAATTCCATCTTCCCTTATGTCAGCCCCCAACCACAGTCCAGATCTACTTTCGTACACTCCTCCCCCTGACCTGACCCCAATGACCCCTTCTTCCAACACATCAATGAGAGAGCGCTTAGGTGAGTTCCTATGGTCCTTACCTCAAGGTGCTAAGTGTCTCATCATAGTTGATATCAGCTGGGCTAAGGGCTGCCACCATGGCTGTCCGGGAATTGCCCCCTGTGGAGAAGCAAAACATTAACTCCAGTGTCATTGATCTCTCCCTCACACTTCCCCCACCATGTCTAGCTCCAGCCTAATACAGCCACACCAGCTTAGCTCTGTGCAGGAGGTACCAATGACAGTGCCCATCCAAGGCTGGCCAGTAGCAGGCATGAGTGGCACCATTGCTCTCAGATAGCTGCTTGGCAAACCCCACTTGCTCTAACAGCAACAGCAGCTGAGGCTACAGCACTGCACTGTTTAAATACCTTCTCCAACGTACATCGTACAGGTCTTTTCCCATATCAGCCCTTGACAGGGATCTGCAACTGAATCACAATCTTCATTATACTGCTTCAGGCCTGGTACTGCCCACCTCATCCCAGTTGCTAGACTTTTCTGATGAAGGGTCTAGGCCCGAAACGTCAGCCTTCCTGCTCCTATGATGCTGCTTGGCCTGCTGTGTTCATCCAGCTCTACAACTTGTTATCTCAGATTTTCCAACATCTGCAGTTCCTACTATCTCCCCCCCCGCAGTTTCTAGACTGACCATCTTGCAGTGTAAAGCAGCTCGAAAACTCTACCCTCTGTCAGGCAACTTGAGATTAAGCAAATGCGTTTTGCTTGCAATCAGTTCTAGTGAGACAAGTCACAGCACGTTGATAGCACCCCTATCACTGAATCAGAAAATTGGAATCTCAGGAAATTTGAGTTAACTCTCCATTGCAGTATTGCATGGTCGGGAGAACTGTCTTTCTGATAGGAGACATTAAATACAGTCTTTCTCTCTCCCCCTCACTTCCCACCAAATATCAAATTACCTCCTGCTTTACAACAGTGAATTACACTTCAAAATGCACTTCAGTGGTTGCAGAATACTTTGGACTGTCCTAGGGGCACAAAATATGCTAAATAAATGCAGGCTTTCTTTACAGTAAGGCTCCCAGATGAAAGGACCGCAGGCAAGTCATTGTATTAAACAGATCTGTTCAGCAACTGTTTCTAAACAATATTTTTGACCACCCAATCTAATAGTTGGACAACACAGCATCCATTTGCTAACTGCTAACCTCAGTACATTGCTGTATGGAGGGAAGAGCTGTCTCTTACCCAGGTTCTCTCGGAGTAACCATGTCAGCACTGAGTCTCTATATGGGATGAAATCAGTTTTCTTCTTTTTCTTGTTCTGATTAATATTGAAAAATATTGAAAAAAAAAATCAGAAACAGAACTCAGTACAAACATGAATAGGACACAGCAGTTTTAATGCACAAATTATCAGTATCCTTCTCAAATCAGTTTGTTTATCATCCCAGCTCTCCTTTAGGCACTGATTCGTCATACCATAAACCCCTGCCTGTTCCACTCCTGTTACTTTTGGTGGTGAGTGATGGTTGAATGCCCTCTCTCCAGTTCAGGCCAATGGGTCTTTGAGTGATTGGTTCCATAGACACTGTTTCAATCTCTTTAACTTAGAGGCAAGGGCACTGCGATGCAAAATGTGACTAAGATACTGCAGATGACATGATAGCATCAAGGTGCAAAAACCCTTTTCAAATTTTGCTACCTGATTTGGATAGCCAGGTGGTGGAAGATCACATTCATTCCCAGATTATCCTTCTGGAAATGATAGTAGACATTGAATTTGACGTTCCACTTTCGGTAGATGTATTCTAACGTTACGATAATGGTGAGACTGCTCCCTCCAATGAATTTAACATTAATGCCTTAGCAATGTCAGGGTAACCTAATGCAGGATAGCCGAGTGCACAGGGTCATGACCTTAGCCAGGTCAAGTTAGGTTGTGGCAGCCATTTTTATTTCCTTAAGAGAGAAAGTAAAAATATGGGCTGAAACCTGTCTGACACTAGAACACCTGCTCAGGTCAACTACTAAAACAGCTGGAAGTGTACGTGATCCTCTCAATCATACACACTACTGGATCACATAGTCCAGCTTGATGTATTATAACATCAACCACACTCACATTGGGAAGTGTTCCCATGTATTTGTAATTGTGGGAAGTTTTAACTGAACCCAGTGCCTGAATGCAGAGCCATGACATTCAGTAAGATGAGCACCTCTTGGAACAGCGAACATGACAGACACAGTTTAAATTAAAACATCTCTCATTTAAGATGGTGACGAGTTTATTTTCTCTCAGTCATTAGTCTGTGGAATTCTTTTCCCGAGAGAGAGGCGTGGAGACTGAGACATTGAATATGTTTAAGGCAGAGTTAGACAGCTTCTTGACTTCTTAAACAAAGTGTATGTAGTGTGCTACAGGAAAATGGGGTTCACAATCAGATCAAATCAGATATTTTTACATTAAATTTCAGAACAGGCAAGGAGGAATGGCCTACTGCTTCTCCTAATTTAAATATCTGTATTAATTTGAACATATAACTAGTTGAGAGTTCTATACAATTTAAATTAAATTTTAATTGATTTAACCACAAATGTGTTTTGGAAATTATTTCACAGCCCACCCTGTTCAATGTCAAAAATCTGTCTAAAGTTCTTGGAGAGATGTTCAGAGTTAGCAACTTCTAAGCACGATAAGAAAAAGCAGCATAAAGTAAGAACACAGTATTAAACACACCATGATATTGAGGTTCCATTGATTAATTTTCTATCTACTTGTGATAGTTAAGCTTAAAAGTTATTGGAAAACCTACAATGTTTGCTGTCTTTTAACTGGGTAAGGAATTAGATTCAAATAAGTGCAAATCATAGCCCAATATATAATACTTGCTCAAGGATCTTGTGGCATGGCGATAATGTCCCTCCCTACCTCTGAGGCAGGAGATCCACGTTCAAATCCCACCTGCTCTCGAGAGGTGTCATCACATCTCCAAACAAGTTGATTCAAAAATATCTACAATACTTGCTCAAAACCTGAGCATCTTCCAGTTGAGAAAAGGTCAATAGTCTAAGATAGTGAACGTTTAACAGTATGAGTGAAAGGATTTTGAGTGAGTGTTTACAAAATTATTCAGGCCCATTAGCTCCATTTCACTTTACAAATACTTGAGAATTTTCAGCATGTTCAGTTTTCAGTCCCTAGAAGTGTTAAGTTCCTACCCTCCAAAGGCAAGGAAGATAATGGTTTATCTTAATATCTAATGAATGGAGCACTCTTTCATACAAAGTGTGTGAGGGATCAACAAATTCATTGGCCGGAGATACTGAGCTGCAAGTCAGTAGCTGGACATTTTTTTATTAAAAGTTGAACTAAAATCCTCTTGAAGAAATACACATGTAAGATATGCATGGACGTCTTCCTGTACCATCCAGCAAGGAGCTTACACCATGTAGTGACTATTCATTTCTCTCACCCCCACTAAGTTTCCGCCCCTTGCAATACAGGCTTGGAATTATTAATAAATGCTTGACAGTACAGAACTTAAACATTGCTAAAAGGAGACTAGAAGTTGAAGCTTTTGTCTTACACTCACCACAACGAAGATAGCAAGAAATGGACTTGAGTAAATAGACTCAGATAAAAGCAAAATACCATGGATGCAGGAAACTGAAATTAAACCAGAATACGCCAGAGAAATTCAACAGGTCTGGCAGCATCTTCTGAAGCGGAGTCATACTGGGCTTGAAATGTAAACTCTATTTTTCTCTCTTCACAGATGCTACTGGACCTTCCATGTTTCTCCCACATTCTCTGTGTTTGTTTGAAAACCCAAGAAAGAAGTCACACAGCATGAAAAGAGGGTGCTGATTGGTTGCCCCATTATTGGTGTGGCAATGAAGCAGGAACAGTTAACTCTCAATCTTAGTTTTCAGACGAGACAGGTAGATTCTGATTGGTCAGGGTTTTGCCATGTGACTGCAGCAGAGTTTGGTTGTCTCAATGGCCTTTCTTTTGGAAAAAAAAGATGCAATGTACGTACACATTCTTTTTGTCCAGATAAAACAGGGTTCTGAGTATTTATATCCCAACATCCCAATGATGGTGGACTCTATTAAACAACATGTCTTGTTGTCTATACCCTGCTCATAGCAGGCTGCTTGTTCTCAACCAGCCTGTGCTTGCAATCCTCAGAAAAGAATATCCACCATTAGATGTGGTTCTGTTATTGGAAACCATTTATTAAACAATCTGAATGTGCTAAGAGTCACATTGGAAACCAATTTATGATCATCAGTCCCTCTTGCAGTGTCTTCCATTTGAACCTGTAGAAACTACATCTCTAAATACTTGGAACCCTGTTTTATCAAGATAAAAAGAATCTGTGCATACATTGCACCTTTTTAAAAAAAAAGTCATAGATTTAACCAAACAATGTTACATCTCCATAGCAACACCCTAACCAATCAGAATCTATTTGCTTGCTTTGAGAATTAAGATTGACAGTTCACTATTCTTCCTGCATCTTAGTGCCAATAATAGCCCAGTCAATCAGCATGCTCTTCTCATTCTGTATGAAACCGTGTCTCTTTTTTTTATTCTGTTCCCTGCACCCTAGTCCTGATGACTGCAAGATGTAGAATTTCAACCTGTGGTTTCTTTCAGCAATGCTTGGATTATTACATGCATGCTCACACTGAAAGTGACATGGCTCAGTTTGACACCTTTTAAGCATGAGCTGACTTCAAAGGGTTTCAAATCAGTGGCATTTCCTTGCCCCCAGCTTTCTTGAATTTACTACAGTACATCGGTTAACCTCTTGTACCTCACCCAAGTGCCAAACTCCTCATGGTTAATCCCACACTGTGTGTTGACATGTTATTTAACAGCCTATATATCACAGCTGAGACTGCTCCTGAAATGCTCTGAGCCGAAGCACAGGTTAAACTGTGTTAGTGTAAATATAGGAGAATACAGCATTAGCCATACCTTGTTTGATCCAGAATCCTGTAATAAACCGAACAAGGAAGGAGTTTACTGAATAGATCAGAGACACATGGCAGATCAAATCAGCTACAACATTTAGAACACAGTACTGACTTCATTAGAAACTGAGGGGAGTCTACCATTTCAACCATTCTTGGTACAGTCTGGGTTATTTAATTCAAGAATATTGCAGTAACAATTGGAGACTGAGCCTCATCATTACAACCAGGACTCCTTTTAAATGGAGAGTGATCCAGGAAGACTATTATTAATGTGATAACATGAGCTCTAAATTTGGTTTTTACTTGTTTCAGCATGTCCTAAGTTAATTATACATTAATTATATTGAACAAATGCAGACAGTGAACATTAACGGGGATTCAGTTGAGTCCTAAAAAAATACACACTAAATTAAGTTAGGAGGTACATGCTTGTAATTAGTAACGTTGTAAGTAAATTTAAGAGTGTTAGTAGTAACTTCAGTTCTACCCTCCACAAACTGGCTTTCTAGAGTAAAACATCTTATTCTTACAATTTGCAATTTCTAGAATTATTTTCTCCATTTATAATCCCATAAAAGCTGTGTAAGACCACCTGCCCGACCTATCCTTTCAAAACAAAAAGGTTGACATTTGTCCGTGCTTTGTTCATAATTCAGACTGAATGCTGAACTGCTACATGTGTATTTTAGGTAAAGCATTGAATTTAGGCTCTTTCTGCTCTCTCTGGTGGGTACAAAAAGATCTGATCACATTACTTCAAAGAAGAGCAGAGAAGTTCTTCACAGTGGCTTGTCCACTATTCCTCCTTAATTAATGTCACCATTGCTGTTGGAATGACCTTGGTGCGTTGTGAATTAGCTGTCACTTCTCCTACAACAATGTTTAAAATCTAAAAGGAAAGCACTTCATTGGCTATAAAATGCTTTGAAATGTGCTGAGGTCATGAAAGGTTCAACGGAAATGTAATTCCTTCCTGTAATTTTATTTTTCTGTGACAGTAGGGATCAACTTTGTGCACTGCCTCACATGCCAGAAAGGTTCCCTTGTCAACCAGGACTGGACACAGTACTCATATTAGGATCTGACCAGAATTCTGACTTAGAGTCACCTGACGAAGGAGCAGCGCTCTGAAATAAACCTGTGGGACTACAATCTGGTGTTGTGTGACTTTTGAGCAGAGTCATACAGATGTACAGCACAGAAACAGACCCTTTGGTCCAACTCGTCCACATCAACCAGATATTGTAAACTGATGGAGTCCCACTTGCCAGCATTTGGCCCATATCCCTCTAAACCATTCCTATTTATATACCCATTCAGATGCCTTTTAAATGTTGTTATTGTACCAGCCTCCACCACTTCCTCTGGCAGCTCATTCTATACATGCATAATCCTCTCTGTTTGAAAAAGTTGCCCTTAGGTCCCTTTTAAATCTTTCCCCTCTCACTTTAATCCTATGTCCCTTAGTTTTAGAGTCCTCTACCCTGGGGAAAAAGCCTTGGCTATTCACCCTACCTATGCCCCTCATGATTTTATAAATCTTCATAAGGTTACCCCTCAACTTTCAATGCTCCAGGGAAAATAGCCCCAGCATATTCAGCCTCTCCCTACAACTCAACCCCACCAGCCCTGGCAACATCCTTATAAATCTGTTCTGGACCCTTTCAAGTCTCGCAACATCTTTCCTATAGCAGGGAGACCAGGATTGAATGCAGTATTCCAAAAATGGCCTAAGCAATGTGCTGTACAGCTATAACATGATCTCCTTCCTCTGACTCCAATCCTACTGTCGCAGCTATTGATTTTAATATCCTATTGACCTTGTTAATTGATACCCTGCATTGGTTTAGCACATTGGGTATTGATGCAGTTTATTCTCTAATGCAGAGCGGTGCCAGCATCCGTATTACACCAGACTCAGTGAGTAAGAGCACCAGGTTGAACTCACCACATCCGCCAGAGCGGAGATGACCTTGCCCAGGGTGGTAAGGGATTTATTGATATTTGCACCTTCCTGTAGCAAACAAGGAACAAGCCATTAAAAAAGAGCAGGCAAAACAAAACTGAACGCAGATCCCATTTCTTTTGAATTGAAACAAACACAGACATAACAATTTGATAGTAATGGTTTCCTTGGTGTCTTATAGACCATGCATGGAACAATTTTAAATAAGTCTATTCATTCTACATGCTCAGACATTCAGCTACCATCAATAAAATAATGCAAAACAGAACTCTTCTTTTCAAAGGGTTTGCCTGAATTTGAATTATATTGACTGCAAAGACTTTCAATCAGCGTTTCCTGCCCACACCCCCCAACCCACCTCCTCTCCTGAATTTGATACAATACATCAGTTAACCTCCTATTTCACATTCAAGTGCTGAATCCTTTATGCATCAATTCAAATTGAGAAAAGTGAAGGAACAGTGATAAAATTTCAACACAGGATGGAAGGTGGCTTGGAGGGAGAGGGAAGCTGCATGTGGAAGTGTTCCCATGCATCTGATGCCCTTGTTCCTTTAGGTGGCAGAGGTTATGAATTTAGAAGGTGCTATCAGAGGAGTTCCTGCCGTGCCTCGTGTATATGGTGCACACTGATACCATGTATTGGTGGTGGAGAGAGTGTGTGTCAAGTTGGTGAATACAGTGAGAGTCAAACAGACTGCTTTGTGCTCAAAGTCGAGCTTCTTGAGTGTTGTTAAGGGTCACCTAGATCCTGGTAAGTGGACAGTATTTCATTACATTCCTGACTTGTGCCTCTTAGATGGTGGTCAGACTTTGGGAAGTCAGGATGTGAGTTAGTCACCACAGGATACCTAGACTTTTGTACCTATCATATTTCTATCACTGGTCCAGTTCCCCACTTCTGATTTCATGTTGGAGGGACAGGCATTGATGGATAAAAACTGAAAGAACTGTGGATGCTGTAAATCAGGACAGAGTCCTTTCCCCATCCCACAGACCCCTTCACCCAGCTCCAACACTCTCCCTCTACCTGGATTGCTCCCTCTGGCCTTTTACCTGCACTCGATCTGTTCATTGAGAACTGTCGACGTGACATTGGTTGCCTCAATTTCTCCGGCAACCCTCTCAGTCCAACCTGTCTCCCTCTGAACTGATTGCACTCCGTGCATTTACATCCATCCCTGACTTTCTGATTAAGCTTGCCGATATGGGTGGTGCTGTTGTAGTCTAGTGTTGCAGAAGCTGAGTGCCAGCTCTCAAAAACCTCCTCCTATCTCCCCCTGGACCATGACCAGGCCATGCAAGATATGGCCATTGTATCAACCACGATCACTGACTTCATTTCATCTGGTGTTTCCCCCCTGCCAATGCCTCCAAGCTGATAGACCCCAGGCCCGCACATCTCGCTTCTAACTCCATCATAAAATCCAACAAACAGGACTGCCCGAGTAGACCCATTGTTTTTGCCAGCTCCTGCCCCACAGAACCCATCCCCAAGTAGAGGAAGGGTCACCAGACACGAAATATTAACTCTGATTTCTCTTCACTGATGCTACCAGACTTGCTGTGCTTTTCCAACAACTTCTGTTTTTGTTTCAGGCTTTGATGAAGCAGTGAAGATGTTGGGGTTTGGACACTACCCTGAGGACATGCTGCAGAGATCTCCTGGCATAGCAACGAATGACCTCCAACACCCCAAACCCTCTTCCTTTGTGCCAGGGATGATCTACTAGCAACGAGTTTTTTTCCAATTCCCATTGACTCTATTTAAAAAATCCTAAAGAACTGTTAATGCTGAAAGTCAGAAACAAAAACAGAAATTGCTGGAAAAACTCAGCAGGTCTGGCAGCATCTGTGGAGAGAAATCAGCGTTAACTTTCAGGTCCAGTGACCCTTCTTCAGTTCTGCTGAGTTTTTGCAGCAATTTCTGTTTTTATCTCATTGACTCTAGTTTTGCTCCTAGGTGCCACCTCAAACAAATGTAGTCTTAACGTCGAGAGCAATCAATCTCACCTCACTCCTCGAGTTTGGCTGTTTTGACTAGGTTTGAACTAAGGCTATATTGATATCAGGAGTTGAGTGGCCTTGGCAGAACCCAGACTGAGTATCAGTAAGAAAGTTATTTCTGATCAAGTAGCACTTGGTAGAATCACGTTTGAGCCCTCTATCGCTTTACTAATGATCGAAAGTAGACAGATGGGGAAGTAAATGGCTAGTTTGGATTTGTTCTACATTCTGTGTACAGGACGTATAGGAATTTTCAAGTCAATGTGAATCAGAGGAAAAGCTCTCTGATATTTGGAGTCATACCTAGTGCATAGGAAGATGATTGTGGTTGTTGGAGGGCGGTCATCTCAGCTCCAGGACAGCTCTACAGGGGTTCCTCAAGGAGTGTCCTAGGTCCAACATCTTCAGCTACTTCATCAATGACATTCCCTCCATCATAAGGTCAGAAAGGGGAATGTTCACAGATGGATGTACAATATTCAGTCCTAATGGTGACTCCTTAGAATACATATCCAAATGCAGCAAGACTTGGACAATATCCAGGTTTGGGCTGATGTGTGGTTAGTAATATTTACACCTTATAAGTGATAGGCAATATTCAGGTCTTTTAAAAGTATACTGTATATTAATTGTGAGACATAAGACAACACTACTGAGCCACTCCTGGTGATGGACTCTGAAGTTCCCCAGCTATTCTATTCTAGTGGTGTTCAACATGGAGGAGTATTCATTCATCAACGGAGAAGATCGGTAGGTAGTAATCAACAGAAAGTGTTTTGATTTGATAACATGAGACTTCATGTTGTCCAAATGCAATGGTGAGGATGCCCAGGGCAATTCCCTCCTGATTGTATATCACTTTTCCACCACCTGTGGTGGGCAGCACTCCCCCTTACTTTCTCTCTGGCTGTGGGGTCTCTGACATCCATGTGCAGAAGTGACTTCTGGAACCATAAGTCAATGCCACGATCAGTGTGCTGACACTGATCACCAGCTTACAGGGAGAATTGCTGGTGGGTCTTTCCCACTGATGGAGAAGACATTCCCACCGATAATAATGGTGGTGACTGTGACATTGTCTGGAAGGTGTGATTCAGTGAGTATAACTACGTCAGACTGTTTCTTGCCTCGTCTGTGGGGCAGCTCTCCTAAGTTTGACACAATCCCCCATTTGTTAGTAAGGCAGACTTTGCAGAGTTGACAGGGTTGGATTTGCCACTGTCCATTCTGATGTCTAGTTCAATGCTGGGTGATCTATCCCATTGAATTTCTTGCTTTAGACTAGCTTCCGAAACAAGGACAGATAAATGAATGGGTGAAATATTCAAGATCTGGATGGGTGGATGGAAGGAAGAGTGATGTGGACAGTTACATGGTTTGATGGATAAATCCATCAGTGGATGAATGGATGGGAAAATGAGTGGATGATGAAATGGATGGGGGAATAAATGCATAGATGGACAGATACAGATTCTCACCTTTAATCGTGTTCCCTTTGCTCCTGTGGAATCAGCTCTTTCGCTTCCAGCAAGATCGACCAAACTGATTTTACTAACCTACAGAGGGAATTAGAAATAAAACAAGGCACTTCAAAAAAAGTCATGAGATTAATTCCTGTTTGTAATTCTCTTCCATTATGGCCCTTGCTACAACTCTCCAGTATTTTCCCTGTGTAGTGTAAATGTAGTATATGTAAAAAATTCTGTAGGTACTCCATCACTGTATAAGATATCAGTATACTAGGCCTCCTGTGGCCTAGACCTGCAACAAGGGAAATCAAGGCATAAGACTGAATTTGATACTTCTCAAGATGTAACCCTAGGTAAGATGAAACTATTAATGCAGAACAGATAAATTGTGACAGAAGCTGTGTGATCTTAGCTTCAGTGGTGGGTGTGTAGCAGACGGAGGTGTACAAAGGGCAGCTGTCATGCTATGCCTTTCTTCAATGCCTCCTACAACAATAGCAACTTGGATTCATATAGCTGCTATTTTCCATGTTTCTATCAAAAGCTTTATTTTTACCTCCTTCATGGGATATGAGCATTGCTGGCAAGGCCAGCATACTGTCACATTCATGTAATGCAAACTAATGAAGCATAGATATGAATTTCTGATATATAAACCAATTTTTAAAAAATTCATTCACAGGATGAGAACATCACTGGCTAGGCATTTATTACCCATCCCTAACTGCCTGGAGGTTAGTTAAGAGTCAACCATATTGCTGTGGGTGTAGATCCACATGTAAGCCAGATCAGGTAAGGATAGGAATTTCCTTCCCTAAAGGTCATTAGTGACCCAGATGGGTTTTTCCCAACAGTTGATGGTGGATTTGTGGTCATCATTTAGACACTTAATTCCAGGTTTTTATTGAATTCAAATTCCACCATCTGCCACGGTGGGATTCAAACCCGGGACATCACCTGGGTCTCTGCATTAACAGTCCAGCGATAATTCCACTAGCCCATCGCCTCCCCTGGACAATTTCTTCAGACACAAATGGAGCTGAGAGGTCAGGTGACCTTTCTTTGCCATACGCAAAGGACTGTAAGAACACTGAGCTAATTTTCATGTCTGGACAAGTCTTGGTGAAGTCACATTAAAATGCAAATAACGCTTGCTGTGATAATTAATACGATTGAGTTTGTAATACTGTGGCAGTTCTTGTGACTCCAAATTTGAAGTCCAGACACATTAGTGGGAAAATCTCTCTCTTGTGAAGATGGCGTGTAGAACAGTGATACCCACAAACCATTGTGTGACAATGGCCTACCCACTGATCAGAAAGCCTTAATGAGGATAGTGGGGAGACAGGTGCTTTGATCACAAGACAGGTTTTTGATAAATAGATTTAATAAAACCTTTAAACCAAAGAAAGGAAAAGACCCTGGCTAGGACCACCAGCTTTAAGCTACATGCACACAGACGCGTGAGTTGGCTTTGAATTCCTGAAATGAGGAACCGTTCCAGGTCAGCAACATTATCTGTTGATTGGAGTATAACAAGAGAAATCTGGTAGTGAGCATAAACCAACAGAACATCTGTTCTTCGAGATTACTGAAGATTAATTCCTCTGTAGACATAAAGGTTTACAAGTCTGAATCTAGAATATACACCAGGGGAACCCAAATGTAACAAAGAAATCTTTAGAAAACATTGACGGATGCCGCAGTTGATTTTTTTTTTCCCTGAGTATGTGCATACTAGTGAGAGTGTGAATGGAGGTATAGATGCTGGACAATAAAGATGTATCTTTCCTTTAAAACTTACAAAATGCTGGAAGTTGCCTGTTCCTTACAATTAAAGCACAGAGTTAAATCACAAACACCCCCACCCGAAACATCAACTTTCCTGCTCCTCTGATGCTGCCTGGCCTGCTGTGTTTCTCCAGCTTCACACTGTGATGTTTTTATTTTCAAATAAACGCACTGTGTTTTGGTCAGTGAGAATGGGAAATGAGTCCCCTGCCTCTTGTCCCTTCCCTGGTTGTAACAATGCCCATCCTTAATTGCCCTGGAGAAGGTTTGGTAAGCCATATTCATGAAGCACTGTAGCCTCAGTGGTTAAGTCCACCCATAGTGCTGCTCGGGACAGATTTCCATGTTTTTTTGAGCTAGTGACAGTGAAAAAAATAACATTATAGTTTCACTTTAGGCTGGTGCATTACTGGAAGGGGAAAGCTTGTAGATTTTAAGGAGTGTCTTAGAGGCGAAAAGAAAGGTAGCGGGGCTGAACAGTTTAGGGAGGAAATTCCAGAAATTAGGACGAAGACAGATAAAGAAACAGCCACCAACTCTGGAGCTATTAAAATCATGGTGTTGAAGGAGGCATAGTCAGAGGAATATTTCAGATATTTGTGGATGTTGCTGGGCTGCGATTTAGTGCAGGTCAGTAAGAATTGGGGTGATGGATGGATGAATTGGATTTGGTTTGAGTTAGGATACAAGCAGCAGAGATTTGAATGACCTGAAGTTTGTGGAGGGTAGAGTGTGGGAGACCAGCCAGGAGTTCATTAGAATTATCAAGTTTGAAGGTAAGAAAGGAATGAGTGTTCTAGCACATGAGATGAGATGAGTTGGGAGGAGTGGGGTGTGTGCGTGTGTGTGTGTGTATGTGTGTGTACGTATGCCTGGGTGGATGCATGAATCAGGCAAAGTAATGGAGGTGGAAATAGAAATGTAGAAAATAGAAGTAGGAGTAGGTTATTCAGCCCTTCAAACCTGATCCACCATTCAACATGATCATAGCTATTCATCCAACTCAGTATCCTGTTCCCACTTTCTCCCCACACCCTTTGAACCTTTTAGCCCTAAGAACTATATCTAACTCCGTTTTGAAAATGTTCAATGTTTTGGTCTCAACCGCTTTCTGTGACAGGGAAATAGCCAGTCTTGCCAATGGTTTGGATATGTGATTGACAACTCATCTCAAGGTCAACTATGACACCAAAGTCATAAAACAGTCAGTCAGTTCAGCCTCAGAGGGCTGCCTGGGAGAGGGATAGAGCCAGTGGTTGGGGAGTGGAGATTGTGGCTGGGACTGAACATTGTAGCTTTGGTTTTCCTGATATTTATTTGCAGATAACTACAGCTTGTCCAGCACTGGGTTTCAGACAGTGGACTGTTTCAGATGTAGACTCTGCCTCAATTATCATAAAGCATTCCTTGCTCTAACAACTTTGCATCTGAAAAAAAAAATCCTTCTGAGTTCATCCTTCATTCTTCTAATGAAGGCCCTCACTGTATTAATCCCCCTCTTGATCTGAATTCATTAAACATTGAAAATTCATTGTTAACTTCTCAAAGGCTGTTATGATTTTGAAAAAGTTTATTTGATTATAATTTTCTCCATTTTAATGAAAGAAAGCATAAATTTTCGCAACATTACTGTATAACACAATATCTCTCCTCCAGTTCTAGGTGCCACATCCAGACATTCTAATCTGGGAATATCTGGCCGCAGAGTCTATTGCTGCACTGCACTTACAGTTCTTCCTGGTGCATGACAGAGATACAGCATGCAGTATAACTGGCAAGAGAGCTTTCATCTTACTTCAGCCATTGAACAAATAACCAACAAGCAGCTTAACATTTCTTGAAACAGCTCATTTGCCTCTCTGTGATTCCCTAATCTCAACTTCAGGTAGAAGTAAAGTCACCATAGTCCCAGTGCATCATAGGGCTACTCTTTCATTGTTAGAGAGACGATTGGTGGTGGTTTAACCTGAAGGCCACCTCACCTCAGAGGAGGGGAGAGGTTGAGAAGGAGAGTCCTTCATGGTGACCTCAGTCAGTATGGGAATTGAACCCACTCTGTTGGTGTTTACTCTGTGTTGCCAACCAGCTGAGCTGACTAACCATCCCAAGGAGGTGTTAATACTAAGAACCTCACCCCATTGTTTATTTTCCTGTTTTCCTCATTTTGTGTACAGTTCTTGATGCTACACTTCAGTAGGATTGGAGAGAGAGAGAGCAGAAGAGGTTTGTTCCATGGATAACTTCAGTTATGAGGATGGGACTGGAGAAATTGGGACAATTCTCCTTGGATAAGCCAAGAGGAGGCCTGATAGAAGATTTCAAAATCATGAGGTTCTGAGTAGAATGGAAGGGGAGAAACTGTCCCACTTTTAAGAAGGTTGGGAACCAGAGGGCACAGATTTGAAATGATTTGCAAAAGAAGGAAATGAGACGTGTGCAAAACTATTATCGCACAGAGAGTGGTTAGGGTCTAGGGTTAGGGAACACACTGCCTGCAAATGTGGAGGACCCAGGTTCAATTGAGACATTCAAGACAGCTTTATTCACTGATTATGCTGGAGCAGTACCATCAATGCAAGATCCTGCGAATCCACTGGGAAAACAGATGCAACAACGCTAGCATTCACGATCAGGTCAACATCCCCAGCGTTGAGGCACTGACCACCCTTGATGGGCTACAATGGGCTGTGCACATTGCCTGCGTGACCAACACAAGACTCCCCAGGTGCTCTACTCCCAACTTTGAAATGGCAGGTGGACAGAGGAAGTGCTTTAGGGATACCCCAAAGGCCTCACTGGGGAAGTGCAGCATTCCCACAGACACCTGGGAATCACCGGCCCAAGACTGGCAAAAGTGGAGGAGGAGCATCCAGGAAGGCATTGAGCACCTCGAGACTTGTTATCGGGAGAAAGTGGAAGCCAGGTGAAAGGAGCACGCTGCCACACCAATGCCCCACCCACCCCTTCCCATGACCACCACCTGCCCCAAGTGTAACAGAGTCTGCAGAAGCTATATCGATTTGTACAGCCACCTATGGACTCACCCTGAGAGTGGAAGAGAGTCATCCTCGTCCGTGAGGATTTAAATAGAAACAAAGTGCATGGTTTGGGGAAACGGCAGGAGATGGACAAAAAGTCAGAATGCTCAGGGCCAGTGCAGGCACAATGGGCTGAATGGCTTCCTTCAGCACAGTACCAACACTGAGAATCTGTGGATGAGCCAAGTCTGCATGGAGAAGGATCTCATTCCTCCCTACTCACCAGGCATAGAGTGGGAAATGAGTTAAAGCAGAATGGCTTCCCCTTTGATTCACACTAGGTGGTAATAATGAGAAAGATGCCTGGTGCACTCAGTGCTAAACAATATTTGGGGTCTTAAAATATAGGGAGAGGGTTTACTACCAGAATCCCACGGACTCGTCAAGCTGTGGGCTGGAAAGAGACATCAGTGAACGTCTGGAAAGATCAAGACAGATCAAAAATATAGATGGGCAAAAGTAGCTCTCTTCCCCAATTCTAAACTAGTTACAAGCCCTGGAAGTCCCTTTCATTTGCTAACAATTTGCATTTATATATCATCTTTAATGTAATAGCACACTGACAAAATATCCCAAAGTGCTTCACAGGGGCCATAAATCAGACAAGATTTGACACTGATATGTAAGAGAAGATCTGTAACAGATTCGGATCTCCACTCTGCTCGCCAGTTCCCTTTCTCCTTTTGTTTTGTCCTTTCTTTTATTTCACTCCTTTCTTCTCTCTCTCTCTCTGTAGTAATTCTATCCCTCCCAATGCCCCTTTTAACAGCCTACCTAAGGAGGCGGGAAGGAGCCGGGTCACGAAGGGGAACACGTGGTGGGGGCTGAATGCACGGGTTGTGTCCTGCAGCAATGGTGGATTGAGCCTGGGCCAGAGCAATGGTGGCGGATCAAGGGTGGGCCGGCGAGAGAGGGCCGGTGAGGCAGTGGTGGTGGGATTGGGCCAGTGAGGTAGCCAAGAGAGGGACGCTGGCAGCAGCATGGCGAGGGCTGGAAATGCCGGAACGGGACAGTGGCAAAGGAATGTCGAGGACAGTGGCAGTGGAAAGGAAAGTTGAACTCTCTAAGTTATCTATTTTCTTCTTGCCTTCTTCTAAGTTAATGTGAATGGTGCCATGAATGTAGGGCGAAGGTACGCACTTTTCACTGTATTTTTACATTGAATACTTGTGACAATAAATATATAGTACATATATCTTAAAGGACAGTGGCACTGGCATGAAGGTCAAAGAGCCCACAGCTGCTCCTATTTTCTATGAATTTATAGGAGCACAAGACAATGAATTGAAAGTGTGCAGACTTATGTTGAGGGTTATGAGGCTGGAGGCGGTTACAGAGATAGGGAAGAGTGAGGTCATAGAGGTGTTTGACTGTGTAGGTGGGAATTTTAAAAGTAAAGCTTTGATGGGTACAGTGCCAACATATATCAGTAACGATAAGAGTGGTGTGAATGGGACTTAATATAGGTTATGCTACAGGCGATAGAGCTTTACATGATGGTAAGAACATTCCATTTAAATTTGCTCTTTTCTCACGGCTGGGCTACTACTGTTCACCAGGAATCCTGTCAGACAGCCTGAAATAAGTTCACTCAAAGGCTAGCAATAGTTTTCAGCTAATCTGTACGAGCAGGTTCGAAAATCAGGTTTAAACGTGGGAAAGTTCTCCATCGAAAGGTCAAGATCCATATCCTATCTAAATGAAACAGATTTAAATCACAATCTACAGAGGTGGAAAGTGGTTTTTGGTAACTGCGCTCTTTAGTCTTGCATCAGAACAAGCAGAACCTCAACCCAGGGCTAGATTTGACAGATTTGACTGTCAATTCACTGACATCCCAACCACACAGGTCTCCTTTACCTTCTCAGAGGTTGTTTCTGGGATGGTGTCGTGTGCTTTCTGTGTGAAGATGATGTTGAACACAGCGTGAGACCGACTGCTCGTCTCATTCATGTTTGTGGCAGCCACAGTCCTGAGGAAAGAGAAAAGAAGATAAGCACCAGAGTATGACCTCTCCCTCTTTTACATTGACTCCATCACAGGGCATTCTCTCACTTGCATTCATCCCCTACACTGCCAATTCTTTCATCCTCATCTCTCAGTCGACCACAGGTTAATACTTTGTTTTTTTAATTGACTTCTATAGGCATTTCCAGGCTTTCTCTGCCTCATACCTATCTTCCAGCCAGACACTGAAGCTAGATTAGATTGTTAACAAAGGGCCTTTCAACATCACCTTCCAAATCTGTGACCACTTCTATTTGGAAGGACAAGGGCAGCAGCAGATACATGGGCACGCTACTATCTGCCACACTCCAACCTGACTCAGAAATATATTGCTATTCCTTCACTGTCACTGGGTCAAAATACTGGAACTCCCTTGTCCATTAATTGTCTGAGCGACGCAGCCTTGAATAAATTCAATGATCCAGACTTTCCAGCAAAGAGAATTACATGGACTTACCAACTCGGAGAGAAAGAACAATTCTTCTCATCTCAGATTTAAATGGGAGACCTCTGATTCTTAAACCGTGTCCCCTAGTTCTAGTCTTTCCCACATGAAGAAACATTCCCCTGTGCACACACTATCCAATTCCCTCAGGATCTGCTGTGCTTCAATGAGATCACCACCTACACTTCGAAATTCCAATGGATACAGGCCAAACCTGTTCAACATTTCCTCATAAGATCATCCATCCATCCTAGGAATGAGTTGAGTGGACTGTCTCAGAACTTCATCAAACTCAATTATATCCTTTTTTTGAATAAGAAGGTCAAAGCTATACACAATACTCTAGATATAGTCTCATCAAGGCACTGGGCATCTGCAGTAAGCCTTCCATACGCTATATTCCACTCCCCTTTGCAATAAACAACAACAACCTCTTTGCCTCCTTAATACTTGCAATGCCTGCATACTAACTTCATGTGATGCATGTACCAGGCTTATTTATGCGGAAGTATAATGTGTCAACGTGACAATTGGAATGCACACAACCTCTGAGAGTCTGCACATTGGTAGCAGGGCATCCAGATCTTTTCTATACCATTGATATCTGTTGTTGTTTTCCTTGTAACTATTGTGCTGCCTTATTACTTGTCCTGCCAAAATGGACAGGTTCACATTTTCCCAGTATGCTACATCTGCTGAATTGCTGCCCGCTTACTCACACTCTCTGTATTCCTTTGTTATTGCTCTATCTCCTTTGGATAACTTACTTTCCTATCTATCTGAGTCTCATCAGTGAAATTCAGTGCCATCACTTGAATCATTGACATAGATTGTATATAGCGGAGGCTCCAGCATTGATCACTGTGGCACTCCATTAGCTACAGCTTGCCAACTTGAAAAATACCTATTTATCCCTATACTCAGCTAGCTATATTTAAAACCATATCAATGTTTATTCTTGGAATATGGGTGTCACTGGCCTTTTCAGTATTTATCGCTCATTCCTAATTCCCCAGAGGGTAGTTAGCAGTCAACCGCATTACGTGTCAGCCGTACTGGTATGAACGGTAGGTTTTATTTGCTAAAGGGCATGAATGAAACAGTTTTCTTCTTTACAGCACTTGATGGTGGCCACATGGTGATGATTAAGTTAGCTTTTAATTCCAGATTTTTTCAAAAATTGAAGTCAAGTTGAACTATCCACCAGGGCAGGATTTGAATTTGTAACCCCAGAATGCATTAGCCCAGAATATGAGTTTCTAGATTACTCACCAGTGTCGTTACCATTATACCTTGCCAGATAACAAACCCTTTATCCGTAATAATTGTTACCCGCTCCCCCCCCATCCCATCAACTCTTACAATAATCTTTGGTGTGGCCCCTTGTCAAGAGGTATTTTCCACTTGTCTAGACATGCTGTAGACTAATGATTAGAGATTGACTCCTATAATTCATCAATAATTCAAGTTTTAACGTAACTAGCAGGATGTTAGAAGATGACAATGATCTTTATTTGTCTCGTGATCTCATATTCCCATCGGCTGGAGATAACCAGTACCTAGCTTTGTTGCCAGAATCCATGAGGTCTGAAATGTCATTGTAGGAGGTGACGGCAAGTTTGGAGAGATCCTCCACGTAAGGACCGAGGATGGGATGCTCCCGAACACGAAGGTTCCCTTTGTTCTTGGGGTTTAGTAGGTCTCGCACACGTTCACAGTAAATCTCCATGTAACTGACCTGGAAAGCAAACACAGCAAGAAGATCATGCATAAGCGAGCAAAACACCAAACACCTGGAAGACATTTTCCTTGGGAGGGACATAAAGATCCTCTTGTCTATTCTCAATCAATGAAGGTTTACCCTGAGTGTATAGAGCTGAAGCAGCTGAGCACTTCACTGTACGGTTTCAAGTAACGTCTGCTTCAGGAATGATGGTCTTAGCTTATTTGGGAATTGAACCTGTGCTTTTGGCATCTCTATGCATTGCAACCAGCCATCCAGCAAACTGAGCTAAAGAACTCCCCTCTCACTGACATACCGTTCCTTGTTGATGTTGTTCATGTCAGCTATTATAAGTATATCATCAACCACCCAGCTCCAACTGATTATTCCATCCCTCGATCCTCCTCTGATTCCTTATTGTTAGGTTAGTTTCCATGGATGAGGCACACTGCTTCCAATTACACATTGAGAAATATAAATCCATTGTCTTAGCAGCTGCTACAAATCTTGTACGTTCACCAAGGATCCCATCCTCCTCCCGTATTCCATTACTATGTTCCAACTGGACTGTTGGTCTCCAGGAGCCCTATTAAAGTCACACGCCTCAGTAACATCCGTTATCTCGGCACCACCTCAGTAACATCATTTATCTCTGCACTCCCTCAGTAACATCCCTTATCTCTGCACCCCCTCAATAACATCACTTACCTCTGCATCCCCTCAGTAGCATCACTTATCTCTGCACCCCTCAGTATCATCACTTATTTCTACATCACTCCAGCTCATCAGCTGCCAGAACCCTTGTCTGAAACTTTGGCCATCTTCATTCTTGATGATTCCAGTGCCTTTGAGTCCTCTACATTTCCTAAATGTCACCTCATCCAAAACATCGCTGCCTATCTCCTAATTCACACCAAGTGTGGTTCACCCATTATCCTTGTGCCTGTTGACTTACACTGGTTCTGCAACACTGGTGTTTTAAAATTCTGCATTCAAATCCCTTCACAGTCATTTCAGTCCCTATCTTTACAATCCACTCTAGCCTTAAAACCTTAACAGAACTCAGTGTTCTTCCAATTCTGACCTCCTGTACATCTCTCATGTTCTTTGTGCTCCTATTGGAAACCAAGCCATCAGTTGCTGAGACCTTGAGCTCTGGAATTTTCTCCCTAAAACCCTCAATTTGCACCTAATATTTTGACTTAATGTTGACCTTTGTCTGATCATATTTCTATGAAGTGCCTTAGGACATTTTCCAATGTTAACCTTGCAATCATAGAATCCCTACAATGTGGAAACATGCCCTTCGGCCAAACAAGTCCATACTGAACGTCAGAGCATCCCACCCAGACCCATCCCCCTATAACCCACCTAATTTACACATCCCTTGAACACTACGGGCAATTTAGCATGGCCAATCCACCTAACCCCCACAGCTTTGGACTGTGGGAGGGAACCGGAGCACCCAATGGAAACCCAAGCAGACACAGGGAGAATGTGCAAACTCCACACAGTCGCCTGAGGCTGGAATCGAACCCGGGTCCCTGGTGCTGTGAGGCAGCAGTGCTAATCACTGTGCCACCATGCCATTGTTCTTACAGTTGTATCTAGTCAAGATAGTGGATGTTAGTGGTTTGGAATACTCCCTCATTCAGAACCCCAGTGATGATAGCACTCAGTCAAATATTCCTGGGTCAGGTATAACTTGATGCAGAGTACAACATTCTCACCAATATCCTCTCTCCCTCTATAACATTAGTGCATTCTCGGCTGCTGAATTCAGAGCAATTTTGGTTTGTAGTCCCTTGCCATTAGGAAATGAACAGGCTAAAGATATTTTGCAATGGAGTCCTCGCGACAGTGGACGCTCATCTCTGACTGAATAGGATCTATACTGATGCCCGGAGAGTGATTACTTGATTTGCCATATCATTCCCTATGAGATTATTTTAAAGCAAATTTTATGATATAAGATGTATGAGGCATGTGTGCTGCAAAGAATTTCAGCCACATGTCAGATAGAAGGTGTACTGTGTCTTCTCTTATACTTACCTCCACAGAGTATGAGAGGTTGGCATTGGTACTGTCATTAATTCGGGCAAAGAGATCTTCACACAGCTGCGGAAAGAAAGAAATAGAGATAAGGCAGTGTAAAATAAATATAATTCGGATCTATAGTGAACCTCGTAAACTCAGGACACCTAAAGGACTTGCTTCAGGTGTTCTTTATTTTGTCCTTATTTTCAAAATGATCAACGTTTGTGCGTTGTTCAGATGGGCCAAAGATTCCAGGATTGACTGTATCTCCGACAGAATTCCTTCTTTTTATCCCCACCACATGGATTTTGTCTAATTCTAGTGGCTTGTCAGTAGGATATGAACTCAGTTTATCCTGTTCATTGAGTTTCCACTTTGGCCTAGTGTATTCTAATTGTGCACTTAATGCCCTTTTATAGAAACATGTGCTGAGCAATCCCACAGTTGCATTGCCTTCAATTTACGATACCCCTCCCTCTGCCTTTCTCCCTTTGTCCTTCTGCCTCACTGTAACTCCTCTCTCGGGGCTGCTTTCACTCTTGGTCAATGCTGTTGCTGCTCCTGATTCTGTAAAGGGCTCACTTCCCAAGCCCAGCCCCACCCCCACCCCGTTGCCCAAATCATTGTCAGCTTCCCTTTCTCCCTGTCTCCCTCAGACATCTCTCACCCAGAAATCTCAGAGACTCCCTTCCAAAATGCTGAGACGCCCACACCCCCATATTTAAAGACAACCTGAGACATAACACCCATCTATCCCATGATGTGAGACACCCCTCCCACTGCAACCCAAGCAATTGTAGCTCTTCGCTGAGAGTGATTGGCTGACGTTGCATTGGAGTGATGGAGGAAAGGGTACACAGTGGCAGGATATTAATCCAACAATCAGCAAGAAAATGCCACAGACTGAAGGTTGTATCCCATCTTGTGAGATGAACAGTTCAGTTCAGTGCACTTCCTGGTTTTTGTGGAATTAGGAGGTCTTTATCCAGTATCCAAAGCAGCAGAGAAAGTGCTGTACCTCTGGATAGAGCTGTGCAAACATTTAATCCCACAGATAGTGGGGTTTCTCTATTGCAATGGATGCTGGGTAAAATAATCTCCATTACCTAAAACCCCAGTTTGTTTTGCACCGACAAGCACCTCACACCTAGACATCTGGTGTTTTGGATTCAAATCGGCTTGGTGATTTTTTGAAAATCTGCAGGTAGTTAATTATACCTTAACATTCTGACATTATGAACCTTTTGACAATCTCTTCAGAGACTGGACTATATATTATGGGTTCTCATAAAATCACTGTGCACTTTTCATAGGCATAGGGATAGGAAAGAAAACAGGTTTTAAGGGAGATGCAACAATGGTCTACATTTAAAGTGGAAATTTTAAGGTTTAAATAATTTGCAATGCAGACAAACCGTGCCCATATAGTAGCTTCCAGAACGGTACTGTCTTGTGGTCACAGCTCGTCTCATTGAGCTGGGTACAGCCCTGTGGGATTTTCACATGTCCTGTTCGGATCCTGAGGTGAGAGTTGGTTTTAATGTGGCAGCACTCGGCAGCAACACCAGGTGGTGCCAATGTGCTTCCCCAGCTCAGCATTCACCCAAGAAATTTGCCTGTCCCAGGGGAATCAGACCAAATCGTTTATCAACTACAACAGCAGCACTACATCACAAAGAATCAAGTCTGGGTTCACATTTACAAATTGCATCTTACAAATTAGACTCTTCATCATATAAACGAAATTGCCATCGGAATGGGCAGACTCTTTTAAATTAGCCCAGCTTCTCATGTATCCATGGAGCAAAGGCTGGAAATTATAGACTGATCAACAGTATACATTGAACTGGAGGATACAGTGAGCACACAGCCTGTTCTGGGGACACAGCAAGTACACGGCCTGTACTGGGGACAGAGCGAGTACACGGCCTGTACTGGGGACACAGCGAGTACACGGCCTGTTCTGGGGACACAGCAAGTACACAGCCTGTCCTGGGGACACAGCGAGTACATGGCCTGTACTGGGGACACAGCGAGTACACGGCCTGTTCTGGGGACACAGTGAGTACACGGCCTGTACTGGGGACAGAGTGAGTACACGGCCTGTACTGGGGACAGAGCGAGTACACGGCCTGTACTGGGGACACAGAGAGTACACGGCCTGTGCTG